GGTTGTAAGCTGTGACAGGTGCTATAAGTGGGGAAGGTGTGGGGAGGAGATGGCCTCAACCAGGCGGCCACAGTCAGGAGCAGAGCGAGCGAGCCACTCGGGCAGCGGGGTGGACGGCAGAGCACTCCAGGCAGGAGAGCAGCTCGTGCAAAGGTCCTGAGGCCAGGCGTGCGTCCAGCAGGGCTGGAGGGGCCGCTCCTCGGGAAATAGCAGCATGTGAGGACGCGGGGGCCACGGTGCGGGCCTGGGATTTTACCGAGAGTGCCGAGACGCCCCTGGCCCTGGCGAGTTTAGAGCTGGGTGTGGTGTGATCCAGGTGATGCTTTTTAAAGGATGACTCTGGTCTCTGGGTGGACTCAGACCCGAGCAGAAGCAGAGGCTGGTTTGGGGGTTCTGTGAGTCAGGGTGGTGGGGAGGGTCAGACAGGGACTTGTGTAGGAGGTGGGGCCACAGGGCTCATGTGAACAGGTGTGTGTGTGTGGGGGGTGGGGTGGGATTTGAGCACCAGGGAGCGTGTTGGTGCTGTTTCGCAGGTTTGGGGGAACACTGAGAACTTTCTCAGACATGTCACAGTGGAGGGAACACCTCAGCTTCTGGGGATCTTGTAGCTAAGGCGAGGAGCCCAGGGTGGGGCACAGAGCCCCGGGGGCACCCCGGCTCCCAGGCCTGACCTCCCACACTGCTGGCCCGGAGCTGAAGGGCAGCCCTGGGTACCTGTGGGCCCCGGGTGGACACTGAGGTCCCCTCCCTATGTCTGGGCCTCAGTATTCCTGTCTGTAAATTGGGAGCAGTGGGTCTCTCACTCCCTGGAATCCTGGGGCTTCGGGGCTGTTGCTTTTATAAAAGGCTGGCTCAGGTCCTGGCATCTCCTGAGAGGACGTGGGGCAGACGGAGGCGGCCAGCCTGGCAGGCGTCCCTGCTCCCGGCTCTGCTCCACGGAGCCAGGTTGACCGCCGTCTGGGGGCTGGAGCCCTCTGGGTGTATCTGGGCACCTCAGGATCTTGGCCTGGGAGGGGGTTGGCATTAGCGGGCAGGCATCCTCTGCTGAGCAGGACAGGAATCAGCTCTGGGCCCCAGCCGCCCACTCAGCGCTGCCCTCGGAGAGGTCACCTGACCTCATTTGTGGGCACACGTGGCCACTCTCTTGGGGTTTGCTGTTCTCTGGGGCACTTTTTCATCTTGGAATCCTGCTCTGTCCTGCCCCTAACCCCCCCCCTCTCCCCAGGGATCTCCACCTGGATCCCTCCAGGGCGGTCCTGAGCACAGCACCCCAGGGCGGAGGCGGGTCCAGCCCAAACCCATGGCTCCTGGGCTGGCCACCCCAGCATGGACCTGGGCCCGGGATGGAGGGAAGCAGGTCACACGGGGCCAGAAAGCCTGAGAGGTCTTAGAGTGTGTGTCCACGTGTCACCGCGTGGGGAGAGCAGGGCTGTCCACTCTCGGGCTGGCCCTGGGGCCAGGCCCTGTGGGCAGCAGCCTCCAAGCCCCCCATAGGAGCAGGCACTGGTGACATCCTGGTCACACGGTTGGCATTTCGCCCTGGCACTGTCTGTAAAGTGAGTCTAGGAGGACTTGGGTGCCCACATGGGTGTCTAGGCCCCAGCATTCAAGACCACACTCCAGTGGGGCTCAGAAGCAGCCTGGCTTCCTGGCTGGGTGGGGTGCTGGGCAGCAGTGCTCAGGGTCCGGGAGCAGGTGTGGCTGTGGGACAGCAGGAACTGAGGGCCAGCCTCACCGTGAGGGCCACGAACCGAGTCCTTGGAGCCAGTCCCCCCGGCGCCCCCAGATCAGAGGCCACGTCCCTCTAATGGTCCTGGCACACAGGGGCATGGTGGATGGCATCACCCAGTTGCACGTGTGTGTGCACTCAGTCGTGTCCAATGCTGTGCGACCCTGCAGACTGTAGCCCGCCAGGCTCCTCTGAGCATGGATTCTCCAGGCAAGAATACGGGAGTGGGCTGCCATCTCCTCCTGCAGGGCATCTTCCCGAGCCAGGGATTGAACTCAGGTCTTCCGCATCTCCTGCATCGGCAGGCAGATTCTTCACCACTGAGCCACCTGGGAAGCCCCGGTGCACGGCCGCGTTTGGGAAGGTGTCCAGTGATTGAGGGGCAGAAGCAGGAATGAGGATTAAGCTGTCACACAAGGCGTGAGGACTGTGCTGTGCAGTCTGGAATCGAGGGTGGGCAGTTCAGACCTGGGTGGGGGTTGCTGCTGCTGAGCTTCTGAGGCCAGGTCAACACAGCCTGTTGTCTGCGACGCCCGGTCCCAGGGCCGGGCTCGGGGGTCAAGCTCTGTAAATAATTGCCAACAAGTGGGGGGCTCTCAGGAGGCCTGAATAGGGCAGGCCTTGTCTTACAAAAGAGGAAACGGAGTTGCAGAGGAGGGCGGTGCCCCTGGGTGGGTGGTGGCACGGGGCCACTGTGTATAGTCTGGTGTGGGGTCCTGCATTCTCCCACTCCCGCGGACTGCACACGGACAGGCACACACCTCTGAGCCTGAGCACATCACCTGAGTCCCGTGGCCCATGGTGGCTGGTTTGCACAGCAGTGTTCCTGGCAGGCCACCAGCTCACAGTCTGCCTGGAGCTTGGGGGCCAGAGCAGCAAGGCCAGGCCCAGCTCCAGTGACTTCCCCGCCTGGCCTGGGAGCTGCGGCCCTGCCCGGGCAACTCTGATCACATCACTGTGGCTACCCTGGTTCTTTGCCAGGAGAGGCGTGAGCAAGGGAGACAGCCGTGCACTTGGACTCTAATTTACAATCCACTGAAGTTGGAGTGCCGCCTTCCTTCATCAGGTCATTGTTGTTGTTCACTTGCTCAGTTGTGTCCAACTCTTTGCGACCCCATGAACTGCAGCACGCCAGGCTTCCCTGTCCTTCACCAGCTCCTGGAGTTTGCTTAGACTCATGTCCATCGAGCCGGTGATGCCATCCAACCATCTCATCTTCTGTCACCCCCTTGTCCTCCTGCCCTCAATTTTTCCCAGCATCAGGGTCTCTTCCAATGAGTCAGCTTTTCAATTCAGGTGGCCAAAGTATTGGAGCGTCAGCATCAGTCCCTCCAATGAATATTCAGGGTTGATTTCCTTTAGGATTGACTTGATTGATCTTGCTGTCCAAGGGACTCTCAAGAGTCTTCACCAACACCATACCAGTTCAAAAGCATCAGTTCTTTCATGCTCAGCCTTCTTTATGGTCCAACTCTCACATGCATACATGACTACTAGCAAAACCATAGCTTTGACTATACGAATCTTTGTGGGCAAAGTGATGTCTCTGCTTTTTAATACACTGTAGGTTTGTCATTGCTTTTCTTCCAAGGAGCAAGTGTCTTTTAATTTCATGGCTGCAGTCACCATCTCGGTGATTTTGGAGCCCAAGAAAATAAAGTCACCAGATCATTGCTTCAGTATAAAAGTGACTTGGAGTTGAGGAGGGGTCGCGGTAGTTACACACTTTTGAAAATAAAAATGAAAAGGGGGGTTTTCTGGCCTCGTTACCAGCTGGAAGCACAGACTTCTGGGTTCAGGATGCTGAATGCAGTTTGCTTTTGGCCACTTAGAGGCGTTGGGTTTTCCTGCTTGTTGGCTGAGCCTAGTTTCCATAGCACCATAGTGGGGTCTGGGGTCATGTCATTGGCCAGACTTTATTAATTAAAGTGTTTTGGGATCCCCACCTTTGAGCCCGTGTCTGCTTGGGACCAGCAGAGATGGGCAGACCAGGGTACATGGGGCGCTCGCTGTGGCCCAGGAGCCTGGAGTCACCTCTCGGGACCAGGGAGGCTCCGCTGGCTGCAGGTGTTCCAGCTGCTGTGGTTGAGTCAGATCCGGATGCTTTAGTGTCCCGCTGTCGCCCAGGACTTGGTCTCAGCTTCCCACTGGGATTCAGACTTGAGCAGGTGTCCAGCGGGTGGGCCACAGGCCAGCTGGCCTCATTGCAGCTGGGTCCAGAGGCCCCTAGAGAGCCCTGGATTTGCGGAGCGTGTCTACACTGAGCGCTTGGGCTGTGACAGTGACTCAGGGGGAGCTTTCCATGGGCAAAGGGGATGAGGAGTGTGGCCGAGGCTGCTTGGAGCCCAGCTCAGGACAGGGCCCCGCTGGGGGCAGAGCGGGGGCGTGAGCCTCTGCGTGGGGTCTGTGGCTCCTTGGGGAAGTTTGCAAAAGTCCCCCTGCATGAATCTGAGCCTCCTTGGCTAACGGGGTGGCAGCTGGGCTGGAACCGGACGGCCCACGTGGGAATCCTGGCTGCAGGAGTCAGGCAGCTGGGGCGCCTCTCTGAGCCTTGGCTTCCCTCGCTGCAGAATGGGGCCATGCAGCAGCATCCCTGAGCTGAGGAGAGTATCCAGAGCACATGCTGCTTATCACTGCCCCGCTGTCCTCTTTTTTATTAAGATTTATTTCTTATTGGCTGTGCTGGGTCTTCGTTGCTGCGTAGGCTTCTCTCTAGTTGCAGCAGGCAGGAGCTCCTCTCCAGCTGCAGTGCACCGGCTTCTCATTGCAGGGGCTTCTCTTGTTGCAGAGCACAGGCTCTGGGGCGCACCACCTTCAGCAGTGGCGGCTCGTGGGCTCAGTAGTTGCGGCTTCCGGGCTCTGGAGCACCCGCTCAGGAGTGGTACACGGGCTTAGTTGCTCCCCAGCATGTGAGATCTTCCCAGATCAGGGATCCCATGTCTCCTGCATTGGCAGGGGGGTTCTTTACCCCTGAGCCACCAGGGATGCGAGCCCACCTGCCGTCTTCTTAACCGGGCTGGGGACAACGTGGCCTGTTCTTGCAACCACAGGAGATGAGTCTAGGTCAAGGTCACCTGGGCAGGCTCCTGTCCAGAGGTGAACCTCAGGCTTTACCACCCCAGTCATCCTTTGGCCGTCAGATTGAGGGGCGGGGCTTGGTCTAGGTGTGGCAGGGGTGGCGGGTGCTGGGGCTGGGTTTGGGGGGCCCAGCGGGGAGCTGGGGCCTGGCCCCCTCTCACCTGTGGCCTCGTCCTTCCCCCTCCCCCCGCAGCAGGTCGGCTCAGCATGTCGGTCAGCGTCCACGAGACCCGCAAGTCGCGGGGCAGCACGGGCTCCATGAACATCACACTCTTCCATAAGGCCTCGCACCCTGACTGCGTGCTGGCGCACCTCAACACGCTGCGCAAGCACCGCATGTTCACCGACGTGACGCTCTGGGCCGGCGACCGTGCCTTCCCCTGCCACCGCGCCGTGCTGGCCGCCTCCAGCCGCTACTTCGAGGCCATGTTCAGCCACGGCCTGCGGGAGAGCCACGACGACACGGTCAACTTCCAGGACAACCTGCACCCCGAGGTGCTGGAGCTGCTGCTGGACTTCGCCTACTCGTCGCGCATCGTCATCAACGAGGAGAATGCCGAGTCGCTGCTGGAGGCGGGCGACATGCTGCAGTTCCACGACGTGCGGGACGCGGCCGCCGAGTTCCTGGAGAAGAACCTGTTCCCGTCCAACTGCCTGGGCATGATGCTGCTGTCGGACGCCCACCAGTGTCGCCGGCTCTACGAGTTCTCCTGGCGCATGTGCCTGGTGCACTTCGAGGCTGTGCGCCAGAGTGACGACTTCAACAGCCTCTCCAAGGACACGCTGCTGGACCTCGTCTCCAGTGATGAGCTGGAGGCGGAGGACGAGCGCGTGGTCTTCGAGGCCGTGCTGCAGTGGGTCCGGCACGACCTGGAGCAGCGCAAGGCCCACCTGCCCGAGCTCCTTCGCGGTGTGCGGCTGGCCCTGCTGCCCTCCGACTGCCTGAAGGAGGCCGTGTCCGGAGATGCCCTGCTCATGGCAGATGAGCGCACGCGGCTGCTGGTGGACGAGGCGCTGCGCTGCAAGGCCCGAATCCTGCAGAATGACGGCGTGGTCACCAGCCCTTGCGCCCGGCCGCGCCGGGCCGGCCACACGCTGCTCATCCTCGGGGGCCAGACCTTCATGTGCGACAAGATCTACCAGGTGGACCACAAGGCCAAGGAGATCATCCCCAAGGCGGACCTGCCCAGCCCCCGCAAGGAGTTCAGTGCCTCGGCCATTGGCTGCAAGGTCTATGTCACGGGGGGCCGAGGCTCCGAGAACGGGGTCTCCAAGGATGTGTGGGTGTACAACACGGTCCACGAGGAGTGGTCCAAGGCGGCGCCCATGCTGATCGCCCGCTTTGGCCACGGCTCTGCCGAGCTGGAGAACTGTCTCTACGTGGTTGGGGGCCACACATCGCTGGCCGGCGTCTTCCCGGCCTCGCCGTCAGTCTCGCTGAAGCAGGTGGAGAAGTACGACCCCGGGGCGAACAAGTGGACCATGGTGGCCCCGCTGAGGGACGGCGTCAGCAACGCCGCAGTGGTGAGCGCCAAGCTGAAGCTCTTTGTGTTCGGCGGCACCAGCATCCACCGGGACATGGTGTCCAAGGTCCAGTGCTACGACCCATCAGAGAACCGGTGGAGCATCAAGGCTGAGTGTCCGCAGCCCTGGCGCTACACTGCAGCTGCCGTGCTAGGCAGCCAGATCTTCATCATGGGCGGCGACACGGAGTTCACGGCCGCCTCCGCCTATCGCTTCGACTGCGAGAGCAACCAGTGGACACGGATCGGGGACATGACCGCCAAGCGCATGTCCTGCCACGCACTGGCGTCAGGCAACAAGCTGTATGTGGTGGGGGGCTACTTCGGCACCCAGCGGTGTAAGACCCTGGACTGCTACGACCCCACCTCGGACACGTGGAACTGCGTCACCACCGTGCCCTACTCGCTCATCCCCACGGCCTTCGTCAGCACCTGGAAGCACCTGCCCGCCTGAGGCAGCTGCGGAGCCAGCCAGGTGAGCCCCCACTCCCCCGCCCGAACCCACTCGGGGCAAAGGCTGCATCTTGCAAGGGAGGCTGGGCCAGTCAGGAAGCAGGTGACTGGGGGTCCTCTGGGACCCCTTTTTTCTACTCTGGAGCCAGAATCTAGTTCCCCCCCTTACTTAGTTAATCTTGAGCAAAGCAGGTCACCCTTTTGCCAGATGGGGGCAGCCGTCTTAGACTAACTCCTGGGGCCTGGCTGCAGATCAGTCATCAGGGGTCTGTGGACAGTTCCTATGTGGTGTTTAGTCTAACTTTTGAAGTCTGAGGGCATAGTCTGTGTGCAAGGGCGCCCTCAGGAAATGGGGGTCTCCAAGGACGTGTGGGTCTGCAACACTGTCGCAGACACCAGCTGTGAGATGAGGGTTCCCCAGAACCATCTTAGATCCAGCACTGGAACTGCTCATGAATGTGCTGAAGGTGTATATCCCCAGTTATGGTTTATTTACAGGGAAAGGATGCGGATTAAGAGGAGAGGGCGGAGATGCCTGGGGCAGAGCCCTGGACGGGGGTCCAGACGCAGAACACCCCGTCCACTCCCTTTGTACTAACAGCATCCGTGAGTGACGGCACACGCACAGTACTGCCCACCAGGGGAGCTCACACAGCGTGGTGTCCAGAGTTTTTATCAGGGCCCCATCGTGTGGGCGTGACTGACTGATTGTCCACACGGTTACTCTCAAGTCAGCTGGTCCAACATGACCCAAAGCCCCCCTAGGTCACACAGACTTCACTCTAAACAAAGACCCTCCTATCGGGTATGACACAGATCACCTCCCAGAAGCTAAGAGCAGACCTCTGGGGATTGAACTTGGGTCAATTACAGGCAGATTCTTGACCGTCTGAGCTACCAGGGAAGCCCCTCTGTTTGGGCAAGGCCACTAATTCTGTCCTGTGCAAATGCTGAGCCCAGGCCTCAGCCTAGACCACTGGAGTCGGGGCATCTGGGGCCCAGGGCTCAGAGCCATGGTAGCTCTGGGCGAGTCCAGAGTGCAGTGAAGGTGAGCACCCCGCTGGGCAGGCCCATGAGGAGCAGCAGGAGGGGGGTGGACGGGCACTCGGGGGGGTGGGTACCGGCACCGCGGAGCCGGGTACCACTGAGGGCATTTGGCGGGGCCATGGCAGTGGGCCCAGTGGCCCTGCGCTGGGCCTGGCCCCTCCTGGGGGCAGCGTGTGCTCCCCTGTGCGTGGGGGAGCCTCTGTCTCTTCCCTTCCTCCATGAGATGGAGAGGAGGTCTTCCTTGGAGCATGGGAACAGCCCCCAGCAGGGCTGCCCCGGTTACCCTGGGTTACCACACTCTCTGATCTCGGCAACATCGTTTCATGAAGTCACTGCGCGAAACAGGAAGGCCACAGTGGAGGCCAGGGGCGAGGTGACGTGTTCAGGCGCTCCTTGTGGGCATCAGAGGGGCAGGGGGATAGATGGAGGGGCTTGTCCAGGGTGCAGGACGGATGCAGTCAGGGGAAGGGGGCCAGCCTGTCCTGGCAGGGCCCTTTCTGACGGGTGGGAGAGGGCTTGCCTGCAGCCCCCCGGGGTGATCCAACCGGCGCTGAGGTTGGATTCGTGTGTTCTGAGTCAGCCTGGCAGGGGCGTAGGGGCTGGGACGGGGTGCAGGACGGATGCAGTCAGGGGAAGGGGGCCAGCCTGTCCTGGCGGGGCCATTTCTGAGGGGTTGAGGAGGTGCTTTCCTGCAGCCCCTGTAGGGTGACCCATGGCCGGTGCTGAGGTTGGATTCGGGTGTCCTGAGCCAGCCTGGCAGGGGCGCAGGGGCTGGGACGGGGTGTAGACTGGTGGGCGTTGGAGAAGGTCGTCCATGGTCAGGTCCCGGCTCTTAGCTCGCCTCAGGTCTTCATCCCTTGGGGCAGTGAGGTCCCGGGACCCCTGGTGGACAGGGCAGAGGCGTTAATCCTGGGGGCACCAGGAAGCGCGGGGGAGTGTGGGATCAGATGCCAGGTCACGCCAGGGGCGCCTTGACGCCCCCTAGGCTGTCCTGGTCCCAGCGTCTCCCTGCCCACAGCTGCCGCGCCGTCCTCCTGCACATCGGAGGAGCCAGCCCTTGGCCCGTGCTGTTCAAGCCACAGGAGCCTCGTGAGGAGCCGGCCTGAGCTGAAAATTCCTCAATGGCCTGGCGACTGCTGACAAGAATGCTGAAAGCTCCATGCGGCGGAGGCAGTCGTACTTGGCTGGGTGGCTTCTGAATGGAATCTGGTGTTCAGCTGTTAGGTCAGATCCAGCCAGGCCTTCGAGGCCCTTAAAGGGCTCCATCCCTGGCAGGCAGGCAAGGCTGGCCCCCGCGAAGGTGTCAGATCTGTACAGATCGTAAAGAACGGCCTGGGTGGGAACAGGCTTTGTTCTCTGTTAAGGTTTCTCTGCGCTCTTTGTTGAATATGCTGTCTTCCTCTCTGGGAGAAAACTCTGGCCGGCCACAGACTTGGGTCCCCTGGGGAGTAGGCTTCAAAGAGAACGTTGGCGTCTCCTTGGAAACCTGTGGTTGCCTATGGGCCCTGACGTCTCGTCCCATCTCAGGCCGCCCAGGGCCAGGGACTCAGACCTCGTCTGGTGTTGGCCTGTTCTCGGGACCCTGGAGGGCAGTTCCTCCCAAATGGGACAGAGTGGGGGGGAGGTCAGCAGGATCCCACGAGCCTTCAGCTTTCCCAGGACTTTCCCCTGTTTCAGGCACTGGGGAAGGGAAGCAGGCGTGGGCCCTCAGCTCTGACTCTTGCTGGCTGCTTGACCCCAGTTGCTTAACTTCCCTGAGCCTCAGCTTTCCCATCTGGGAAATGGGGATAAAAATAGTATTACTCACAACAGTTGGGTAGAAGAGATCAAGTGAGGGGCCGGGTTCAGAGTCAACTTTCCTCCGAGGCTGTGATGAGGCGGGGATGGTGGTGATAGTTTCGGAATGCTTTGGGTGGCCGAGGCCCCTGGATTGGGAAGCCCTGGGCCAGCCCCTCCTTCTGGAAGGGCCCCTCCCACACGGTCAGGATTGCCCTTTCTGCGCCCCTGGCTGAGTAACGCACAGGCCTGTCCTTTCGGCGCTCCCCAGCCCGTGGCAGGGTGCTGTTGTCTCCGATGAGGACCCAGCAGGGGCGCTGGGGCAGAGGGTGACACCTGGGTGTGCCCTACCCACCCGTGGCTCCAGGTGGATAGCACGGTTGTGGCAAGATGGCCACCTGTGTCTGCTGCGGCCAGGACCAGCGCAGAAGGCCCCGGCTCAGGTACTGAGGGTGGTCCTGGGCCGGTGACAGGGGGGTGGCAGGTGGACGGGGTGGGAGGGGCCAGACAGCAGCGGTGGGTGAGGGGCTGGGCTCAAGCACGCTCGGCAAGGCTCACGGAGGTCAGGTTGAGCAGAGACTAGTGCCCCTGCTGCCCCTGCCCCCTTCAGCATGGAACCCCCCCCTCCACCCAGCCTGGCTGCTAGCTGGGAAGCCCCAGTGTCAGGGCGAGAGAAGGGGGTCCGTACCCAGCATGTCCCGAGTGCACCCCTCCCTGGGCTGCTGTCCCAGACCCTCCTGCAAGCATCGGACTGGCCTGGGGTCCAGCCTGCAGTGCCTCTCTGGTCCCCGAGCCAGAGACTCCAGGGACCACCAGCCAGAGAGCCCCGCGCTCTGCAGCCCCTCTTCACGACCCCGGTGACTCCCCCGGTCACCCCCAAGTGTTCTGTTTCTCAGTCGTGAGCTAGTTCTGTCTCGGAAGCATTTGTTGGAGGTGCTGCTGGCACCGAGACCCGGGGTGGGTGGCTGGTGTCAGGCCACAGCTGGAGGGCCGGAGCGGGATCTGAGCCCTGGCCGGGCCCCAGGTCTGCAGGGGGCTCTGGAGACCCAGGCCCTGAGCATCCCCGTGTCTGTGCCCTGGCACCGGTCGCTGCCCGCTGCAGCCCACACGAGTGCTGCCCGGCGGTGGGGGTGGGGCGCTCTTCGAAGCTCACCGCCGGCAAGATCTCCAGGGCCAGCCCTTGGCTCCCGGGTCGCAGTCTGATCCTTGTCTCTAGGTGACAGTGGCCAGGAGGCCCCTGGAGCTGGGGTGGGCGCCCATCTCTCTGGGCTGCCCGCCAAGTGTAGACCATGCATGGACGTTCTTTTCTCTTGTTTTCTCTCCCCCCGAGCTCCCCATCCTGACCCTGCCTGCCTTTGTTTGGCCTGTGGTCTTTAGAACATCAGGGTGGAGATGCAGGCTGCCAGGAGCTGTCTTCTCCTCCTGGGCACCGTGGGGGACCAGCCCCTGCGACAGCCCCAGGGGGTAGGGGTAGGGGCACGCGCTCCAGTCCTGCTCTGGGAGAGGCTGAGCCTGTTATTCCCCCCCACCCGAACCCCAGGGGCCCCGCCACCACAGGAGGGTGGATTCAGCACGACCTGTCCTGCCTTAAAGAGGTGGGGGCCAGGAGGAAACCGTAGACCTCCGGGTTCAGAGCTGGGCTGGTGCGGCCAGGGGGATGAAGCACCCCGCGTCCGTCCGTCCGTCCGTCTGCACAGTGTGGCCCCATGCCAGCCGGGATGGCGTTGGTGGCTGCGGGCCGCCTGCCAGGCCCCCCGTGGGTGACCCTCAGGACCATGAAGGGCGGTCACAGGCCTGGCGGGGTGGCTGTGCATGGCGGTGGGGTGACCGCTGACCCCACGTCTGCTATGCGGAGTGGACACGGGTCCTGTTGACTGGAAAAACAGTGCATAACCTAAGGGTTGAGAATTATGTTTTGTTCAGCAGACAAAACTCAGGACTTAAGCCCAGAAGGCAGCATCTCAGCTCTGAGGGACCACTCTGAAGAGGTCAGAGGGGGAGCCAGGGTATATAGGAGATTGTACAATGAAGACCAGGGAGTTGAACATGAAAAGATAACTGTTAATTAAAGAAAACGAGCAGCTCAGCTGGTAAAGAATCCATCTGCAGTGTAGGAGGCCCCGGTTTGACTCCTGGGTCTGGAAGATCCCCTGGAGAAGGGACAGGCTACGCACTCCAGTATTCTTGGGCTTCCCTGCT